TACGATAAAAGTATACATATAGTTTTTGTCTATAAATAGTTCCCAGGAGGTATAACTCATAGTTCTCTCCAGGATCAAACAATTAAAAAAGTCAGTTCGACAGAAAAATAAAATTTAACCATAACTCAAACAGTAAAGTGTAAATTTGAAATAACATTCTTAACTCAAATTATTATTTTGATAAAATGAATATTCAATAGAGAAAATATGTTTTACAATATATTCAAAGTTATAATGTTAGTGTGATGTGGGCTACTTATAACAAAAGTAGTATATGGTGATGGTCAAACATAGAATATATTCCGGCAGAAGACCAATAAGGAAAGAACTGAAATGAAGCGCAATTGCTAAGAAAATGCATAAACAATGAAATTAGAGAAGATGAACTGATATTTACGAAGGAACAGTGAAGATTGAGACAATTGGTTGTTATTTTGCAAATTAACTGTTGACTGTATGGTTATCGTAATTTAGTGAGATAGTCTGTAATTTGTGCTTAAATACATTCGAATGTCCCCACTGGTGTTCTCGTTCACTACATTAGGAAAAAACTTAGTCTGCCAATTTTTTTATACAGTTTTAAGGTATGAAGGTTATTCAGTAATCCTCAGTATAAATTATACATGTTGGTAAGTATATTATTATTTATAAATGATCTTTGAATCACATGTTAACTAATGAAGATGAACTTCTTACTTCACTTATGAAGTAAAACGATCCTACAATCAGCACATACTACTTTGTTCACTACGATATAAGGCTATACAGACTTAACTTTTTTGAAATATAAATCAATCGTATCTCCCTTAATGTTATTGGTATTTATAGCAATACACCCGAACTGTGTCAGAAACATTATGTACGTACAACCTCAACAATCAATAGTCTACATTGTTGCTAGTTCCAAATTCACTTTATCAGTAATAAGCACAGTACTGGATTACAATTGGAAAGATATGAGACCGCAAAACTTGACCATGGATTATTTTCTCACTTTCTATAATTCTCGCTGAAATATCTGATTCATCAGATAAAACTCTTTAGGGGTATATATAAACGAGAGTATTTCATAAATTAAACTAAGCATAAGTTACATACTAGTCATCTTATATTTTGCTAGAAAAGTTTAATTTATGTATTGTAGTATGGAAAGATTTATTGGTTATAAACTCGGTTCAGTTCTAGTAAACACTGTTGAAGATTCATAGAAATTAGATTTTTCTCTGTTACTCTACTGTCTCTAATTATCATGATTACTGTTTAACTGGTCAGAATCAAATGAGATAGTCATGTGGGAAGTCTGACTAATGTATTGTATACAGAATGATTTATTTTGATTGCCTGAAAAACAGTAGTGGTCATTTTTGAAAATTTATCGCTTCGCATTACAGACACGGTGTAGTTGAATGCTTCGCTAATATTTTACCTCAATAACCGTTACAATACAAATCTCAACGGTGCATAAAATCAGAAGGCAAAAGGAAGCTGCAACTACAGTTTATTATCAAATAACGCAGGTCACAAAGCTGCAAGCACATGAGTAAGTATCAGCGAGTAAGTGCAAGCAATTACATAGACAAATTTATAGTCAAATTGTGTAAGGGCGCAGCAAGACAAAGCAAAAGATAATAATAGGATTTGCATGCATCATATATATGGGGAGGAGGATGAGTTATCGAATGATATTTAAGCAATTAATGTTTTGGCTAGAGTCTGTCATGTGCCCTAGTGATTATAACAGTACAAAGATATATGCGAATTATTACTATCCGAATGACAATGTCTGTTAAGTAAGTTGATAAAAGAGCTTAACCAAGATTAGCCATAATCGGAATTGGGTGTAGGATATTTGCTAAAACAGCAAATTACATTCGAGATTACTTACATCGAAATTCAATCCAGTACCGTGATTCTTAGGAAAGACAGTGCAAACATCGTAAGAATACTATTTCTAAAGTACGTTTCATTTTATGTAGGTGATAAAAAAGCTATATCAATGTACTTTCAATCATTTTTAATTTTCGAGGTATCGTTTACACAAAATTAATAAATTTTTCAATACCTTGGTATAAAATGTTAACATGAAACGTTAGACAGCCAGTTTTTGTTTGTTGCCTGTCACTATTAATTGTTTGTTTAACTAATTATTTTGATTTACGAGTGTTGAATCTTTTTCGGTTGACAAAATTCACATATATGAATGAAATACTTTAAATTTAAGAAAACATATAACAATAATTAAGTTAACTTAGTATTGTTTACTTGAATCTTCCCATTAATGTTTAGGACTGGAATTGATCAGTCTTGTGTTGGCATATGTGCGTCCTGTACATGTTACCTCGATATAGCTTTAATTCACAAGCAGTATTGATAGTGGCTTGGAGTGGAATCCAGGACGAGGGTTTCGTCCTATTCAAGCTGGTTGTACCTTCATCTCAGAGTTGATGTCCACTCTGGGACTCGAATAAGAGACTGATCCTTTGCAGTCCTAAACATCATTGGAGAGATACAAGCGAAGGATAGTGAAAGAATTTAAACTTTACGGCACTGCACAAGCAAGTGGCTATCAGGACTCAATAACTAAGTGGATAACGTGATAGTGTTTGAGGAGAGCGGTACTGGGTTCAAGTACATCAACCCCGGGGTGTAGGCACATCCAACTGCTGATTCTCAAACAGGACGAAACATGTTTCCTGGATTCAACTGCTGACCACTGTCTATCTTCGGTAATAACAATAATTGTAAGAACTACTGTGATTGGTCATTTTCAATCCACATGATTATTCTTGTTTACTTTTTCCTGCCTAATGATTTTCATTTAACCAACATATGTAAATATTGCCAGTGTAAAAGTATTTTTCGTTAGAAATTGTTTGAAAAAAAAACACGAAAAAGTCTTTTGGATTTCAATTTTCTTACATTTTTAGATATCTCTATCTTTTTAAGTTCAAATTGTTATACCGACGGTGTATTCATTCTATTTTTTTTAACTGAAGAAAGAATTAAAGGACTATAGAGTTTTGAGCAAATGTATCATGAAAGCGAAATTATGATCAAATATTTTTTCTAAGATTTCTGACTAACGTATGTAATATGGAATAGACAGTCTAGTTAAAAGCTTTTGTTTTTCAGTAGTATATAGCAAAGCGCTTCTCCAGTCAATAAAAATATAGTTCGGAGATGTTTCGTTTGTTCTTTAATATTACCATAAAACGTTGAGCAGTCTCAAAGCAGTCTTGTAACATCAATATATTTGAACATATAGCATTTCACCTTTCAGAGTTATGGTTATCGTTATTAGTTAATCAATTGAAGGGGTAATTAATAAAACAATTGATTTCATGTTGGAATATATCATTATTTAAACATATCAGTAAACGAGATTACAATTTCTTTAAGATTGCAGGTATATCCCGCTCACAGGTGACAACTATAACGTTGCCTAGACCCAATGCTTCTGGAAGACTGAATTCGTCTGCTAAACGTCAGCAGTATAACTCAATAGTTAAAAATAATTTGTTTAACGTGCTCTATTCAATAATGCCTAAAATATTTTTTGATTGAAATCATGAGTTCATTGATGTTAAATCATCATTGAAAATCTTGAAACATTGTACAGTCATTTCGTCAGATAGAGACAGGCATCTACCACAGTACAACGGAAGATGGTCACGCAATATCTTGGATTGTTTAAAGTTAGACATTAGCATCGTTGGATGCCGGATCAGTGGTTTACATATTAAGCGTTCATGAGCAAAACAGGACGCCTTGGGTTCGAATCCCGCGAACTGGATCGTAGATGCGCACTACTGTGAAGCCCAGTACTAGGACGAAACGACCTTCCAGTCCTTTCAGGTTTCCAATGGTGGTCTAACATTAATCGATTCATGATCACAATCAAAAAATTAATAAACTCCACAAACACACGCTGACATTAATTAAATACTTTTATGTATATCAATGCAGGCTTTCTAAATGCACTGATCATATTTACTTTCTAACTAAAAGGAATTAGTTCTAAAAGTGACTCAAACAAAATAAATGCTTTACTCACTAAGATATACCAAATGAAATGATTCAAAAATCAGTAGTAATGAACTCAGTCAAATCTACTGATATCAATCAACAAAAACCATTTTGAGTAAATCTAATAATTGTATAATGATTTATCTAGCGTATAAAACCAAACAATTATCATAATATACAATAAATATTAATTCTCAATAAAGTGTTGTCTAAGATTTACTAGAAGCGCAACAGAATAAATTGTGATGACAATCCTGTTATTTCAGCTTTTCGTTAAAAAACCAAACAAAACAATAAACATACAAACTACATTACATATGAAAATTATATTTGAAATAATCTCAGAGATTGAAATTTATAATAATTCCAACGTTTCGTCCAGCTAACTTGTCCGGACTTCTTCAATGGACTACATTTTTTTCAGTTAAGTATAAACAGTAAAAACTTCACTTCAATAGTAAATATCTTCCTTATAAACAATGATAAAAAAAATAAAAAAAATAATTATTTTTGGCAAAATACTTTAATTCATTATTTAAGAAAAAAATTTCAAAAAAAGAAAAAAACTATTTGTGATAATCAATAAAATTTCATAAATTCATTATTTTTTTTCCAATTCACATTTTCTTAACTAAAATTATATATTTCAATAGTTGACTTATTAAAAATTTAAAAATAATTTGAATAAATATCATGGAAATATTAACCGAAATCCTTTGAAAGGTAGATGAATGAAAGTGTAAAAAAGTGTTAACAGAAATGATGTGTATACACAATTTTTCTCTTTTTTTTCTTTTTTCTCTTGAAATATCTAGGTTTATTAAATTTCCTCGTTTTTTTCCATTTTTTTTCTTTTTTTTTTGTCTTTTGAAGATTTACAAATAATATAACTTCTTATATATTATTGGTTAATTTTCTTGGTTTGTGATTGGTTGATTGAAATGATATTGAAATATGAAAATTTTTCCAGTATAATAATTAAATAAAAAAGCATTAACTGAATTTTAGTTTTATGAAACAAAATAGAATCAATTATTTAAAATCATAACAATAAAAAATAAAGATAGGATAATGCTTTACGTTTATTAGCAGTAAACAATAAATGGCTTATATATTCTAGGTTTAAATATTTTCACCAAACGAAAGAACTGGCAGTAAACGGTAAGTGAATGCACTTTTTTTATAAAAGAAAGGGCAGAGTTTAAATGGTTTGAATTATTTTTTTCTAGTTAGCGTTTATTTTTAGCGAGTTAGTTTTTTACGGGGTAGGGTCTGTGACCCCATGCCCAACCCTCCTCCTATACCTAGCCTTGGGACCGCCAGTAATTCTAGAAGAGCTACAGGCAGAGTTATAAAAGAAAAATACTGATTATAATTATCACATATGTTTACAACTTTTACAGTAATACTAAGCATCTACCGACAAAATAAATATTATATGTTTTTTTTAAAAAAAATTGCGTTGTTTATGAAATGAAATGGATATCTATTCATAGAAGTTGATTTCTAAAGTACAGCTTTAGTTGTATGAATAAAATGAATGTAATATGAGTTGTTCAAACATAAATATAATTTAATGGAAAAGATCTCAGTGATTATGTAAACAAAAACCAAAATAAAGTAATAAATTCGTAAAACTAGATTCAATTGTTAAAATGGGAAATGTTAGTTTTCATTTTTAGGAATACTAGGGATCATTTAATTATCTTGTTTAACTATTTATAATCTGCTAAATAACTTTGAAATATTAATATCTAATGCATCAAAAATAGAAACTTTGTTATTGAGTGATAATCAAATTATTTTATACTTTTTCACACTTGTTAGTAGAGAGTCAGTCAGTCACAACGTAGAACTTCGTATATATGTACATCAGTTCGAGTTGTCACACCATATGAGCACAGAGATACAGTTGTTGATTAAAATTCCATAGTGGTAGAAGTGGTAAGAGTATAAGCAGTACTCCGAAAGATTAGGGTTGAAGGATGTTGTTCAAGGAGTATAATCCAGTGAAATAAATTCGAAAAGACAAAAAAGATAGAGATATGAAGAATTGAAGAGATTATAATTTGGGAGAACACAAAGAGTTGATGCACCTTCGCGATTGCAAATGATTTTGAGCTGTGTCATTCAAGGTCTCTAATCATCAATATCTATCATCTCGCGCATCCCAACGAAGTAGTCTACACTTACCAACATGGCTCAGTCCACTTGTCAGTGACTTCATAGATTTCGCCACGTTCTATTCAGGCTACCCCTAGCTTTCTTCCAAGCTACTCTTACGTCATAAAACATTGCACGTCGAGGCTATCATATTTAACCATAAAGTATTTATGTAATCTGAATTGAATAAATGGGAATTATTATTTCACTGGTTCAATGTAAATGCTATTTATACCAACATCCAAGTACATGAAAATAGTTTAGAAAAGAAAAAAAACTTAGAAAGAAATAGCAATAAATAATAATAAAATGAAGATAAAAATAAAGGATCATCCAATACAAAACTAAAGTAAATAAGTCTTTTATTCAATAAAAAGAAATTCATGTACATGAAATGGATAGGGAGCTTGTTCTCGCTTTTCATAGGGTATTTTTCAACTATCCGTAATAAATAGCTCATTTAATGATGGGTTACTGTATTTCCTGTGAGTTTTCTGTTAAAGATACATTAGATATTTTTATATAGTTTCTAAAAGGTCTTGCCTGATTGATAACATCTTTTGTATTGAAGACAACAGGGTATTTATTCATTAGTGACATATTTCCATGTTAGCCAACGCAAATAGAAGTAAATGAATATTATATTTCCTTGTTCAAAATCTTATTGGTGACTGAAACTTTTATAAATTATTTCACTTATATAAAGAATAACACTTTATCTTTGAATAACTTACGTAAATCTTTGCTTAAGTATGCTGAGTCTATATGTCTGAAAAGAAGCAATTATGGTTTACTACTGAGTTATATTATTCTGTTTTCTGTAATGATTGATTATGCTAGAACTTAAGTGGAATCTTCAATGTGACATCTATTAATATTCGTATGAGTGTTTTGTATTATATTACATTAAATTGTTTAATAAATATATCATTACGATTTTTTTGATGACTTTAATGAAATGTTAAAAAGTATGGTTAACAATTCATAATAACTGATAACCAATGATTTATTCATATTCTTAAATCATGACTTAATTCGATACAAAATGCTGATCAGTTGAAGTTTCTTTATATTCATCAAATAACCAACTGAAATCAATTTGTCTGTTCAAGTGTTTAAGTGTAACACTGCAGTTCCAAATTACAATTAAGCCACCCACTTACTGAAAGAATGTTTCAAAATACTTTGTCAATTTTTTTTAAACTTTATAGCATATCTGATTGAGCAAGTGATTGATTAAATCGGAGATATTCATAAATAATTGTATATATTTACTTTACAAATTCTCGTAAGAACGTTTCTAACCCGAAAATGTTATTTACAAGATATTATACAGCAGGTGGTAATAATATTTTCTTTCTTTTTTTCCTTTTTTTGAAGTTCTTCCACATATGATTGAATAGGCATTCAATGATTTAAAAAAAAAATCAAACTTATTGCAATCAAAAATGACCTCGTATAATTTTTTACAAATATTGAAATGAACAGAAAACGAAAATATTTTATTTATTATAATCTTTAATATTGAACATATACTTAAAAGGATTAAATGATTGAAGGTTATTTTAAAATATCAAGGTCATTCACTACATCATCTTTTTGATGGATTATAACATTTAATTTATTAAATTAAACGTATATTATTAGGGCGGAGGGGGTGGAAATGTTTTATACTTTATATTGAAGTTGTTGAAATTATTTCATCGGATAATCTATCATTCAATTAATAAACTCATATTTATCTTTATAAAAAAAAGCAGAATTTTTTTTACCTTTTTACTCCAGGATTATAAAAAAAGATTATTGGGTTTAATTAGGTTATCCTTAATTATGGTAGATATTAAGTATAATCTTTATCGAATTTCAAGACTTTGGTAATAATTATTACAAAAATCCATTCAAGGTTTCATAGGGGATATAACAAGAATTGGTGTCTTGTTGCCTTAAAAAGGTTTTCCAAAAGAAGCCATTTTTATTCTTTATAAAATTCTTTTAATCATTTTTCATATGAATAATAAAACATAAGCTTATTCATAAATAAATTAATATCTTAATGAGTGGGAAAATTAGGTTTCCTGACGTTTCGTCACTCAGTGTAAGCGACTTCTTCAGAGGAGAAATAACCAAATCAAAATTAATCCAAGTTTAAATAATATAAAAGACTACTATTTAAACTTGGATTAATTTTGATTTGGTTATTTATTCTCTACTCATTAGGATATTACAAATATATTAATTTATTTATAACAATCTACCTAATGCTCAAATCTTGGTAATGATATTTACATCGGCCTATCATTGCTATTTTTACAAATAAATCATTATGATTCTTCTCCGATGTTACGTTAATGTTTAGTTGGTATAATATTTTATATTATCAACATTATTACTGTAGAAAGAGGTGTTATCCTTTTTACCACACTACTTAGAAATCATAAAGTAGTAACATATTTACTTCTACATTTATTGATTATTATTACGTATTTATGAATCTTTTGTATTTCTTTAAAAAATAATACATTAGTTTTTCAGAAATATTGCTTACCTACTACTTACACCTGTTACCCCTCGTAGAGGAGCATTGGTCGCTCACCAGTATTCGTTATCCAACCCTGTTCTGGGCAATTCTTCCCAGTTCTTTCCAGTTAACATTCATCCTTCTCATAACTTCTTCTATTTCCCAGAGTAATGTGTTCTGTGGCCTTCCTCTTTTACTCTTTCCTTCATCATTCCAAGTCAAGGCTTGTCTCGTGATGCAGTTTGACAATTTTTCTAATGTATTTCCTATCTACTTCCAAAGTCTTTTCCTAATTTCCTGTACAGCTGGATTTGACAAATATACTTAAGTAATAAAATGACGTAATGTAGTGAAACAAATTTGAAAAGTATCAGATTAGATTAAAGTATTTTTATAATAGACTCACATATTTTCTATATACAATAATCATTTTCAAGTCATCTTGAGACGTCATTTGAATTAGTTTAATAAAAAGAAAATATGAATTATATTTCACATTGGAAACATAAATTCTAGTTTCCCAAATTACAGAATATATTCAAATACAATAAATAATTACCATATGAATAACATATGGGCATATGGACAATATTGCTGGCTATATCTATTTATTAGGATTCAACTTTATTTTGATTATATTTATCCATCAATTAGGACAACCACGTCTTTTTGATGTACAGATCATGAATTTTAATTATAAAAAAATTCTTCAGTCTGTCATACATGTTGATTCCTAATGATGATGGAATCATAAATAAATGAATACCATGAACACATTGAAATGCATCAATGATATAACTGTTGTTATGTTTATACTATTCATTCAATAACATATATCCATAAAACATGAAACTTTTTACCGGCGATTTATCATCATTCATGAAGACCATTCAAATTCAGCGTCAAAATTTTTGACTTGAAACTATGGTTATTCTGGTTGTTTAAATATTCAAAGGTTTTGAGTTCAATTATTAACAAATTCATGAGTGAGCAATATTGGGGTGTATCAAACTACATTCAAGAAGATATAAGTAATTTCTTTGTTTATAATGTTTCACGAGCTAAAGTCAATCTGAGAAAAAAAACTATCACACAGTTTTAAGAGTAGACATAGCTAAGTTAATGGAGAATGTTTTACGAAAGGATTGAAAATGATTGATATACATTTAAAGATTGGTTATTATTGTTATTATTATTTAACAGTAAAGTTAGCAAAACAAGTATGAATAACAAATATTATGCAATTCTGTTGCGTCATTCATAAAGAAATTTGTGATCATATTTAAATGCAATTTATTTATTGGTTTTATTACATAGCAACCATCACCGAATTTCTATTGCCTGAGGGTTTATGACAGTTTGTAAAGGATATTTTTTGTTTATAATTAGACATGTCGAAGTATTCCGTCTTTTTTTATTTATTAGACTTAACATATTAAATAAGAATGTCGTTTCTATCTGTTAAAATGCACTACATTAC